AGTGAGCTGAAATGGACTGATATTGGCCATTTTGAATCTGACAATTACATGGTTTACTATGCTGGGAATGACAAATTGAAGAGGAATAGCATCATGTTCATCATTAAAAAGAACATATCAAGATCAGTCATGAAGTACAATGCTGTCTATGGTAGGGTAATATCCATACACCTATATGGAAGACCAGTTAATACCACTGTTACTCAAATTTACACACCAGCCACTAAAGCCAGTGATGATGAAACTGAAAAATTCTACCAACTTTTCCAGTCTGAAATTGGTCAAACATGCGATCAAGATGTATTGATAATTACTGGTGATTGGAATGCAAAGGTTGGAAACAAACAGGAAAGATCATTTGTAAGACAATATGGCCTTGGTGATAGAAATGATGCATGATAGAATTTTGTAAGACCAATGACTTCTTCATTGCAAATGACTTTTTTAAACAACATACAAAATGTCTATACACATAGACATCACCAGAGGGATATACAGAAATAAAATTGATGACATCTGTAGAAAGAGATGGTGGAAAAGCTCCATATCATCAGTCAAAAACAAGGCCAGGGGCAGACTGTGGAACAGACCATCAATTGCTCGTATGCAAATTCAAGTGGAAGCTGAAAAAAATGAAAATAAGTCCACAAGAGCCTAAATGTGACCTTGAATATATCCCACCTGAATTTAGAAATCATCTGAAGAACAAATTTGATGCATTAGACATTAAAGACAAAAGACCAGAAGGTTGTGGGATGGCATCAAGAACATCATACAGAAAGAAAGCAAACGGTCATAAAGACAAGAAAGGAAATGACCAAAACAGATATCAGAAGAGACTCTGAAACTTGCTTTCCAGTGTACAGATGCTAAAAAGCAAGTAGAAGGTGTTAGGAGATATAAGACTTGAACAGAAAATTTCAAAGGTCTGCTCGAGAAGACAAAGTCAAATATTATAACAAAATGTGCAGAGACCTAGAGTGAGAAAACCAAAAGGGAGGAACACACTTATCATTTCTCAAGCTGAGGGAACTGAAGAACAAATTGAAACCTCAACTTGCGATATTGAAGGATTCTATGGGCAAAATACTGAATGATGCGGAAAGCATACATAGAGTTGCTGTACCAAAAAGAAATGGTTGATGTTCATCCATTTCAAGAGATAGCATATGATGAAGGGCCAATGATCTTGAAGGAAGGAATCCAAGGTGCATTGAAGGAATTGGCAAAGAACAAGGCACCAGGAATTGATGGAATAAAAATTGAAATCATTCAACAAAGTGATCTGGCACTCGAGGCACACACTCATCTATGCCAATAAATTTGAAAGACACCATTGGGCCAACTGTCTGGAAGAGATCTGTATTTATTCCCGTTCCAAAGAAGGTGACCCAACAGAATGTGGGAATCATCGGACAAGTAAAGTTTTACTAAAGGTAATACAAAAATGGCTACAACTATACATTGACAGGAGTCCTGGTGTGGTGCTGTGGGCTAATGCTTCAGACTGTAAAGTCATATGAACTGCAACGTTGGTGGTTCAAACTCACCAGCTGCTCCTTGGAAATGCTATACTAGGCTGCTATGAGTTGGAATTGACTCGACAGCAATTAACAATATATATTGACAGAGAACTTCCAGAGGTTCAAGCCATATTCAGAAGAGGACATGGAATGAGGGATATCATTACTGACATCAGATGGATCTTGGCTGAAAGCAGAGAAATTACCTGTACTTAATTGACAATGCAAAGGCTTTCAATTGCGTGGATCAGGAGGAACCAGGCACTGGAGAAGGATATCATGTTTGGTGAAGTGGAGGGTTAGAGAAAAATAGGAAGACCCTCAATGAGATTGATTGGCACAGTGGGCAGCAGCGATGAGCTCAAGCGTAGCAATGATTGTGAGGTTGGACCAGGACCAGGCAGTGTTTCATTTTGTTGTGTATAGTGTCGCTATGAGTCAGTACCAACTCAGTAGCAACTAACAATAACCTGTACCTGAACCCATCATTGCCTCCTTCAACTCTTGTTTCAATGCAGGATCTGTATCTTTTCATCTTTCCTAGTTTGTTTTTTGAATCAAACCTGATTCGCTTTCCACATGTTGCTTTGTGCAGCTCCTCTGACTATAATTGGATGAATAAGGTTATGACAGTGAGCCCTGGTGATGCAGTGATTAAGCACTTGGCTGCTAACCACAGGGTCAGCTGTGACCTACCAGTCTCTTGCAGGAAAAAGATGTAGTAGTCTGCTTCCTTAAAGATTAAAATCCATTGCCATCATATCAATTCTGATATGTGGCCCTACAAGAGAGTCCAACTGCCCCATAAGTCTTCTAAGGTTGTAACATTTCACACAGATTATGTCCTTGAAAACCCTATTTTACTTTGTCCTATAGGGTTGCTGCACGTCAGAGTTGACTCAATGGCAATGGCTTTGGTTTTGGTTTAATGGTGTGGCACTTGCCATGAGGGAATGACCCCAGTTCTGGCACATGCTGACTCAATGCAAGTCCCTGTTGTTGGACAGCAGCACATACTGCCTGCTCTAACCCTTCCAGCCAGTTTGGTATCTCTGGTCCTGCCTTAGTTAGGATTGATTGCTCCAAATGAATGTACTTCATCTTTTTTACCTTGTAAACCTCAATTTGCCATTAAACCTATGAGGGCAGCCTGGATCAGAGGGGTGAGCGGCATGTCCAGAAGTTTTCAGAATTATCACTCTTAGCAGGACAGCTGCCTCCCAGATAAAAATTGTCCCGTCTCCTTCAGTGAATTTCTGTTTGGAGAAGAGCCATGAGTTTAAGGATCCAATGTAAGGGAAGTACCATGGTTGGAAAGGGGGTTTGCCTCTGGTTGAACAGGACAGGAGAGTCATGAGCCATCTCCCTTCAAGACCTCTGAACAGCTGGCTTGGGACAGCCTGAAAGGGAACAGACTCAGCCCATTTGCGATCCTATGTCCTCAAGAAGGGAGGGAAGACACTAAAATGTAATGTGTGTGAGATATGGAAATAACCTATCTTTACCAGAGGATTATGATAGGATTCCTTTGCTGCGAATAGTAGATTCCCTTCCTGGCTAGATAAAGACCTGTAGTAATATCAGCACTGTCTTGTATTTGAGCAGAATACTTAACCACTGCAAACCTGAAATCACCCCACAACTGTTAATGTCAGAAATCCTCTCCTGAAAGTAAATGGAGAAGTTTTCTCCTGTTCTCTGAGAAGCAAAGCAGTCCACTGAAGTCCAGCTCCTCCACCTTAAGATAATGGACTTGGAGGGATTGCAGAGCACCACCTAGCTCCAGTGTCTGAGGGTCTGTGTTTATCAAGACATTGGCTCCTTTCTTGTTTGTTTTTTTGATTATGAAATTTAGCAATCAGTTAAATTTCTGATTGTTATCTTTTCCATGACCTTGAATGCAGAAATAGCATACATTCATTAAGATTTGGACTTGTAACCTAAAAGCTGGAAAACTTTTTGGTTGATCTTTATAAAATAAATACAAATAGCATTTCACCTTCTTAATAGTGACTCTTTACCTCTTTTCAGACTGCATATATTCTGTCTTTAATCTTAATATATTTTTCCTCCTGATATTATCACATAGCACATAATCCTGGAATGAAGGCAAACCTGAAATAATACAGGTATTGGGGTTATTTCGAGGATGTTACAGTGCCATTGTAGGATAGTGGGACTAACCTACAGCAGGAAACATTTTATATATGCCAGGCCAGTACTTGACTCACCCATATGGAAGTTACACAAAATAGTATTTTCCCTTACTATGCACTGTATCTGATTTTTTTATTATTTTTTTCATAGTACTGGTTGCAACCCACCAAGTTGATTTACAATTCAGCAATGTTAAAAAAAAAAACAAAGCACAAATGTTGCCTCGGTATCTACTCTCTTCAGTTAAGAGTCCCTGATCTGTACATACTATAATTACACGGCATTTAACATTTCTAAGGATGATGCTTATTTTCAGTTTTTTACCTTGATTAATTTTTAGTAGGGCAAGATGATTTCTATTTTCATTCTTCAGTAATGTTTGTCTTAAACCATTAATATAAAGCTCATGGCTGAGTTCTAAAATTGAATCAATCAAAAGCCTGTCCCTGCCACTGACAGCAGAAATGCTTTGGGGCCACTATGAAAATGTGGATGTTGGGACTGAGGCCCACCTGCAACCAAGAAGCTGTCTTGATCTATCTGTGCTAAATTTTTGTTTCTGTTCTCCCTCTATCCTGGAAGTTTCAAGACTAGAGATCATGGGGATGGCTTTGCCACTTGAGCCCTTTGCATAATTACTTGTTTTCCCCAAGTCTTTTCCAAGTTAACCTATATAAATATACACTATTAGAAGCCCTGCACAGCCAACAGTATTGTGTGAAACTGAGTCAGCTTCAGGCTGCTGCTGATTTCTTTGGACACTTGACTTTGCTCCCTGCTGTCTTCTCTCCTACCTCAGACAAGGCTTGGTTAAAGTTTCTCAGCTGTGAATCTCTGAGCCAATGAACTGCCACTGCCCTTCTGCTCTTCCCCCAGCCTCTACCAGAGCCTCCACACTCACATGTGAGCCTCGAGAGCCAGGGTGGGAGCGCTTCAGTGGAACTGGATGGCTTAGAAAGCCTGTACTGTCCTTTTAATTCATTTCTGTAGCCACTCCTGCCAAGAATGTAATAACAAGAAATGATTTACTTGTGTTCTTGAACCTAACCACAGATTCACTCAAAATAATGGCTGGAATTCAGCCTCCTCAAATAAACTCACACAATGTGTCGTTGGGTCTTGAAACCTGATTTAGTCTCCTAAATTGATTTTATCTCCTAAATTGAGTTTTGTTGATTGTGTTTTTAGACTTTCTAAAAATTAACAGTTTAAAAATAATTTGCATGGATTTGAAAAGTACTAGCCTAATAGAAATAATCTAAGGAACTGCTCTCTGGGCAGTAAAAATTCAGTATTTCTGTATCTTTTTTAAATCTGTAGAAACAAAAGCTTACCAGCTGCTGAAGAAGTCTACTCTTCAGGATAATACACATCAGACTAAAGATAGATTCCAAAAGGCCGGTGTTTCAGGTAAGTAAAGGTAAATTGAATACTTGAAGCCAGTGTTCAGTCAGTTAGGCCAATGGCCAGGGTTATCTGTGTCCAGGGGAAGGAAGCCATTCTTTGAAGAGTCCTGGAGTTTGCTTTGTGATGAGCTGTCACCAGGTCAGAATGAGCCAGTCCCTTTTGATTCTTAATGGAATGGGTTGGGATGGAGATGAAAGAGCCCTCTCTGCTGATCTGGGCTGTTCCAGGCATGGCGGGTGGCCCCTCGGTCCCACTTGGCCTGTCACAGTAGACACTTGTTTTAAGTGTCACAGAGGCACCCCACATTCCTTCTCCTCTCCACATCTCCCAGCTTATTTATCAAATGGAAGTGCTGTGCTTGGCTGCCCTCCCTCTATGGAATGCTGGGGCATTCTGAGTTCTTGAAATGAAGACTATCAAAACCAGGACATCTAAATTCTAAGCTTAAATGTAGTTGTGCTTCTATCTAGAATTTTTGTTTTGATTATTTTGTTTTCTTATACTTCATTGTGTTTTTGTAATTTTCATTTTATTACACCTGTTTGTTTTTGTTGCGGTTATGTGGTTGTTTGTTTTTTTTTAGTATAAGTCACCTCAACCCTCTTTGTGAAAGTGAATTAATATGACCTAAAACTTTTGCAATGGCTCCATACAATAAGCACGTAACAGCAAGCTACAAGGTCTGCGGTTCGAGTCCACCCAGCGACTCTACAGGAGAAAGATAAGGCTTTCTACTCCTACAAAGATTTAAAAGCCTCAGCAACCTTCTACAGATTGGAATCGATTCTAAAGCACATAACAACAACGGCAGTGCTTTCTCATCTTTTCATAGTAAACATGCAGTAATTTCACTTATGAGAACTAACCGTGATTTCTCTTTACTATCACGTTCAGATTACCCACTTTCCTCAGTGTTGTCTTCTTCAGACATTTATTCAAGGGACCAACTAATGGCACATTGGGCTTGTTGTTGTTAAGTGCTGTTGTGTTGGTTCCAACTCATAGCGACCCTGTATAGGAGCGGCTGGTGAGTTTGAACTGCTGACCTTGTGGTTCAAACCGGCCTTGTGATCCAGTGCTTATCCCACAGTGCTACACCAGGACTCCACATTGGACTTAGCATCTGTTTTTGGAGAACTAGATAATATTGGTGTTTGAGTCGGTTGCTACAAAACTGTTATTTTGATTACTCTTAGGACTTGGCCACTGCAGGGTAAGTGCACAGCACAGGGTTTGCTTAACTGCTGTTGTGTTTTAAAACAGGGCCTCTGCGCTAAGAGAGATTGTCATCTGTTTGGAAAGATGTAACACTTGGAAACCTTAACTGTTTGGTTTTTATCACCTTCTTCACACTTGAGTCATAGCAATCCCATCTAGGGATATTGTAGAAAGTATTTATCCAACAGCCTTATTTTACATATGAGGCCCTGAGAGAGCAGTGCTTTGCACAGAGCATTACCTCTGATTGGTAGATAGACACACAGTTTGGAGGGCAACACCACAAATCTGTGTGTTAATGGGCAGGTTTAAGGAAATGAACAAAATTGACCTAAGTTGTAGTCTGTTAGATATGCATCAAAATTATGGTATTATCAAAGTAGTACTATAATGTACTGATCTTTAATGTAATTTATTTGTAAATGAAGTAATAAGCCTTTGCTAGTTATGTTAAGCACCCCTAACATCCCGTTTACTTGCTTTACCTGCAAAATTACCCTATATGCCTTTCAAGATTCCAATTTTCCTGCATTAGACTTTAGGAATGCTTCTGATGAGCTTGCCTGACAGGTGTGAGACACTGCCTCGTGTATGTTTTCTGCATCTGGTCACACATTGCTCTTTACTGCCACTCACAATCTAATCCTAGGGACTTCTATGGGCCAGGAACAGGGAGGGAAACTGAAGCTGCAGTGTATAGGGTTAAATTTCAAAGCATTGTTACTTACAGGTAGTTATGGAAATGTGCACAAACAAGCCCCAAATCTAACTGTTGAAGAAGTGCATATTTCAGTTATTTTCTGCTAAAGATTTCTCTGGTTCTGTCGCTCAGAAAAGCCACTTAAACCTTGTGCCTTAGTTTTCACATCTGAAAAGACTTTGTCTTCTTTAAGTATGTGGAGATTTCCATCGGACTGAAAGTGGATGTATTGCTAAAGGAATCATTTTATTACAGAGGTTACATGCAGGCAACCAGGTTACAGGTTGGAAACTCAGAAAAATGCCATTTACAAAGATACCTATGTACTACTCTCCATTCGTGATCCCCAGTAACCAGTTAAGAACCAAAATTGTAGCAGAAACATGGAAGCTGAGGAGGCAAGGAGTCGGAGGTCAGGAATTCCCCTACTGCCTGGGTGCACCCTGGGGACAGTCCTGTTCACCCAGCTTCAGGGACAGTCTTCCAGTGCATTCTCTTCACTGACCTTTCCAGGCTGACTCAAGAGTAGCCTTGTGAGTTTTCAGTGGGGATTCGGCCTCCGCTGTGTAATGAATGGAAAATGGAGAATTTGGTAGGGAGCTTCAGGGTAGGTGGGGTAAGTAACTGTCATCTAGAGGTGTCCGTTTTTTATGAGATTTAGTTTCTGGAAAATGTGACCTGGAACCCCCCCCCCCCCCATCTGTGCATTCTAACAGTGTGAATAAGACCTATGTGCTTACATGTGTATTTTGAGTGTTTAAAGCAGAGCTGTTCATTCCTTGCTTCAGAGGTTTCCTTACGTTGTGTGGCTCAAGCAGCATCTTTCCCTGTTAACATTTATTTCACCAAAGAAGTTGTGAGGCCTTGTCTTCTTCCATTGTGTTTCAGCCCGGCATGGAGGCGGACGCTCACTCTGTGTTTATACTCATCACAGGTTTGAATATTGGCAGCGGCACATTCCAGACAAAGACAACTAACAAAATCACTTTGGAAGGGAATTTTTCATCTAGCAAAGGAAGTCCTTTGTCAAGGTAAAGTTGTGAAAGTCTTTCTGAATAGCACCCACAAGATGCAAAATGTCACTATGCAATGAATTAAACTCTGGCTGTATATTATTTGTTGTGTGACTTGCTGTATATTATTTGTTGTGTGACTTGATGGACAGTTATAGTTTGGGTTTTTGTTTATCTAAAATAGCAGTTGAAACTTTAGTCTACCTTTGAAAATATTTGCACCAGAGCCAAGTATTGTTTTGCAGCTGTTGTTTCCTTGGTTTAAGACTCAGTTGACACCTCAGTGAACCACAAATTAGCATCTACAGCTGCTCGCAGTAGGACTGCTTAGAGACCACACAATGGAAGTTGTCAGGAAAAGGACAGGGAGAAAACATCAGGCCTTGAAAGAAATAAAGTGGCATGTTTCTAGTGTGGGACAGCTATTATGTAAACTAGCAATTGCTGTGTGTACAATTTTGTTTTCATTTCTGGTTTGTTTGTTTTTTAACTAAGTATTTAGATATTTTTTAAATTTCTTTTTCCTGCTTTCTTTCTTAGTTTCCCTAAAAAGTAAAATTTATCTTTTCACTTTGTTAAACTGTAGCCATTTATTAGTTTTCTGAGCAATGATAAGTGAGGTGTGTCTTGAGTCAACATAAACTACTAACAATGCAGTACCATCAGATCCCTAAGAAGGAGTTCATATGTAGGAACGAGCAATCATCTAACACTTATTTATTTTGCTTTGCGCTAAATACCAATTAAAACACCACAAAAAGTTTCTTTTTTGTAATACTATTTCTTATTTAAAAAGATGTTCTTAAGATCATTAATTGTATTGTATTTGAATTAACTACTTACACCTAATGAAATTTAAAAAACAGGAACTTTACATGTCCTATGAGATAAAAATGGCTTGATCTAGAAATATAGTATTTTTCAAATGAAAAAATTTTATCTTCATTTATATTTATTATTATGTTTTGAGGACCATAAAATAAGATTGACCTTTCTTAAAATTAAAATTTATTTTTTAGAAAACTGAATGGCTCATTTAATTATTAGGGATTGTTATCTTAATACCCAAATTTTCATCCTTAATTTTAAATGGAAGTAGATAATGAACCAGAAGAGTTTTAAAGTATTGTATTTTTATGATTATACTTTAAGTTCAAGTCGCAGCTCTTCTCAAGACAGTTAATTATATAGACAGTTTTTAGGGCTTAATCTTACTATTTGGCTTAATAATGCAGCCCTTTGGTGTTTAAAGATTATTAAAAGTGTTTGTTTCTGTTGAGGAATTATGAAACCCAATTCTTAAACTTTTCTTTGTATATATATATATATATATATATGTTCTTTGGGCAACTGTTAAATACATTCAAAAAAGCAATTAGATTTTATAGAACATTTTGTTAACCTGATATTGTGTCTATATTTCACTAAACTAAAATCTAGTTTTTGCTCCTTAAATATGAGGTGGAGTCCCTCTTTGTTATCACTGTTATTTCTGTATGAAGTTATTGTCCTAAATAAATTCAAGTAACTTCATCAGTCCCCTTTAAAAAAAAGCCTTTTCAGAAACCCTTGGTTCTGGACACTTGATAATAATCCAGCGATGACAAGGTCTGAACGTTAAGCAAGTGAGCTTGGCATGCCATCTTTCATGGTTTGGATCTTGTGCTGGGCTCTGGTTGTTAATACGCTACCCTGGGCTTTGGAGAGCTCTGGTTTTGCTGTTTGTGCCTGGATTCACTGAAATTTCTTAGAGGCTTACATTTAAGGATCCCACTTACTCCAGTCACTCCTTGAGCTTTATTGCTTTTACAAGTGGTCTCGAAACCCAGTACTTGAGAATAAACATAACAGTGCAGTGCTGCTGTAGCACTTTTAAAAATTCTTCTTTGCTCTATTTTGTCAGTGAGCTGATGAGCAAGCTCAGAAAAAGACCCCACTGGACCCAGGGAAAAAAATGGCTTCCTCTGATGTCCTAGAGAAAATAATTATGATGTGCTAGTTAAGCCCAAACTACAGCTGAGGGATTTTACTTTAAAGCAGCGGCTTGGGCGCAAAAATGCATTTATAGCTCTTTGTCTGCACCTCATTATGTGTGGGCCTGATTCATTAAGTAATTGGTTTGCAGTTGTTTACATGAGTATTAAGGCCTTCTTTTCAGCAGCCTTTGAGAGATACATTGTGCAAATGTTGCCTGTGATGAATGCAGAATGAGGTCCAGAGGGCCCGTCCTATTGGCTAAACAGTGCACTCTGTTGAAAAGCCAGAGAAAGAGATTGGGTGCTGCTTTGCATAGCAATGACTTTCTTAATAAGCGTTACAGATTAATACACACAAGCTATAAAAGATGCAAAGAGATACTCTTAGCACATTTATACATGCTCATTTTATTGTGATGGTGGTGGGGTCCGAATGCTTTCATATTCCATTTTTCAGAGCAACGGCTTCAGTGCATGAGCCGTAATAGAATCCAATGTTTATTGTATTATAAATCATGGGCAAGTAGGCAGATCAGCTACAGTTTATTATTAAATATTCTTTCAGTGTAAATCTTTTTCTCCCATTGTATTTGCTTTAGCAAAATCATTTTGTGGTTGAGTGGGGATGAAAGGCATAATGTACGAAGGAGCGAGTCCTAATAGGAAGCTGTTCTGGGAATAAAGACCACTTGTTTCCTTTTGTTCTGGGGTGCATGCCAGAGCTTCCTCTCCTCAGCAAACATTGTCTCGCTTTACCTTCCCCAGGAAGCGGTTTGCACTCTCCAGGATCCTTTTAGTCAATGGAAAGTAGATTTTAACAACCTGCTTTGTAACTTCGGCTTACCGTTGGATGTAGATAACATTTTAACAAAAGAAAGAAAAGGATGTATAGTTGCAACAAAATTGCCTGAGGAAAAGGTAGCAGAAGTCACCCAGCCACCACACCCTGCTAGGGTCCTCAAGCAACCCGCTGTGGGTGGCATTCCCTGCCAACCCTGCAGTCACTGGAGCGGCCAGCGGAGGGCGTCAGCCAGCAGCCAGTGACCCAACTGGCCTGTGGCATCATTTTATTTTTGCCTAGTGACTATGCTATTTCTCTCAGGGTGCAGTGAAAGAGATCACAAGAAACCAACAGTTCAATAAAAAGAAAAAAAGTTTTCCTGTAAATTCTTATATTAGCATCTATTTGTGCCTTTGGTTTAATAATCTGCATTCTTCTCAAATTCTATCAAATTAACAGTTTCCTAAATATTCCTAAACTTAAAATATTATATAAGTTTCTTATAATAAGCTCACAAACTTTATTTGTATGGAGCATGAAAGAACACCCACTTGATTATTTGAAAGAACAAAAGTAGCAAGATGAGTCCATGCAGCTAAAAATGACATCTGCTGTAGGGACCCAAGTTAACCATCAGGGGGCGCTCAGACTTTGTCAAATTAAAACTGCCTCAGACTGGTGTGCTTTTAAAAATTAAAATTAGTATTTACAGATTTCTTGACACATTTGGGATTTCTTTCTTTCTGGATTACTTTTTGGCTTTTATTTCTCATATTGGTGTCTAGCTTGAGGAATATTATAGCTGAAGATACTATTTGATAAATATAAATATTTATTTCAGCTAAAATCATTAAAAATTGTAGATTTTAGAGTCTAGCAACCACATCTTCTTATAACTTAGTTATTTTCAGGCCTGTAATAAGATCTTAGAACTGGAAGTACTCTAGGCTGAGACCCTGCCCTCATTTTCCCCTGTGTTGTGCTGAATCTCATTGTTAAACCTACCTGACATGGTCTGAAAATCTCAACAATTTAGGTAGGTTTTCTTTAAAAAAAATTGTTTTTTTTTTCTTTTCAAAAAATACCTTTTTATGTGTTACTATCATTGAGGCTGTCCTGCAGGTTGTTGTTATGTGCTGTGGAGTCGGTTCTGACCCATAGCGACCTTGTACAGGGTTTCTAAGGCTATAAATCCTTATGGGAGCAGAAAGCCTCATCTTTCTCCCATGGAACAGCTGGTAATTTCGAACTGCTGACCTTAAGGTTGGCAGCCCAACTAGTAACCACTATGCTACCAGAGCTCCTTTGGTTCCTTCCAAATGTGTCCTCCACACAGGTCAGCAGTGAGTGTCCAACACCTCTGTCAGGCTCTTTCAGGGGTCCTTTGTCACTTACGCTACCCTATTCCACACCCTCAGCAGCCCACTTTCCTTCTGCCCCTTTGCTCACCGAACACTCTCAACAGCACCGCGCTGTGCATTTGCCCTGTACACCATGCTGTGGCTTCTACTCCCACACTTTTGTCTTCCTGGAATGTGCCTGTTCTACTTTTTGACCTGACTGATGCACACTAGAGTTTCAAGGTTTAACTCATTAACCTTCTAGACAGCTTCTCAGAGGAGGATAGGGCTATCCAAGATGCCTCTGCCATAGCCCGTGTCTAGTACTGTCATCTGTAGCTCACGGGTGTGTTTCCAGGTACACTTCCCCCCTGACTCTGAGTTCCTCACTGGAATTGGAATGGGGGCGTGTCTCAGTCACCAGAGCTCAATGACTATGGAACCTGCTGAATGAGTGAGCATATTAATGTGTAATGGTTGTTGTTGTCAGGTGCCATCAGGTAGGGTCCTACTTATAGCAATCCTGTGCACAACAGAACCAGGCATTGCCTGGTCCTATGCCATCTTGACAATTGGTATGTTTCAGCCCATTGTCAGATCATTTTGTTGGGGTCTTCTTCTTTTTCACTTCCCCTCCTCCACTTTATCAAACTTCTAGAGTGACTGGTCCCTCCTCACAATATGTCCAAAGAATTAGAAGCAAAATCTCGCCATTTCACTTCTAATGGGCATACTAGCTGTACTTTTTCCAAGACAGATTTGTTTGTTCTTCTGACAGTCTGTATGCTTTCAATATTCTTCAACAACACCATAATTCAAATGCACTGAATCTTCTACAGTCTTCCGTATTCATTGTCCAACTTTCACTTGCATATGTTGTTGTTAGGTGCCATCAAGTCAGTACCGACTCCTAGCGGCCCTATGCACAACAAAACACTGCCAGGTCCTGGGCCAACCTCACAATTATTGCCACACTTGAGCCCACTTTGCCAATCCATCTCGCTAGGGGTCTTCCTCTTTTTCTCTGACCCTCCACCTTACCAAACATGATATCCTTCTCCAGTGACTAGTTCCTAATAACAACATGTCCGAAGTATGAGAGACGAAGTTTGGTCAAACTGGCCTCCAAGGAGCATTCTGGGTGCACTTCTTCCAACACAGATCTGTTTGTTCTTTTGGCAGCCCATGGCACTTTCAGTATTCTCCTCCAATACCATAACTCAAAAGCATCAATTCTTCTACAATCTTCCTTATTCACTGTCCAACTTTCGCATGCATATGGCACATTGAAAATATCATGGCTTCAGTCAGGCTTCAAACTGACATTTTTGCTACTAAACACTTTAAAGAGGTCTTGTGCAGCCCATTTGCCTGAGCATTGATCATAGATCCAATCAAAATGATGTCCTTGCCAGACTCCATCTTTTCTCCGTTTACCATGATGTTATTTATTGGTCCATTTGTGAGGATTTTTGTTTTCTTCACAAGTCACAGTCCTTACTGAAAGCTGCCATCTTTGATCTTCATCAACATTTTAAGTCCTCTTCGCTTCCAGCAACCAAGTTTGTGTCATACTGCAGGTTGTGAATGAGTCTTCCTCCAATCCTGATGCCATGCTCTTCATATAATCCATCTTCTCAGGTTATTTGCCCAGTTTACAGATTGAATAAACGTGATGAAAGGATACAGCCTTGGCACAAATCTTTCCAGGTTCTAAACCAGTTAGTATCCCCTTGTTTTGTTTGAATGACTTCCTCTTGGTCAATGTACAGGTTCCTTATGAGCACAATTAAGTGTTCTGGAATACCCATTCTTTGCAGTGTTATCCATTGTTTGTTATGCTCCAAACAGTCAAAAGCCTTTGCCTAGTCAATTAAACACAAGTAAACATCCTTCTGGTAGTCTCTGCTTTTAACCAACATCTGTCTCTTGGTTCCACATCCTCTTCTGAATCCTGCTTGAATTTCTGGCAGCTCCCTATCGATGTCTTGCTACAACCAGTTTTCAATTACCTTCAGCAAAGTTACACTTCCATGTGATATTAATGATATTGTTTGATGACTTCCACATTCTGTGGTATCACTTTTCTTTGGAACGGGCACACATGTGAATCTTTTCCCATTGGGTAGCCAGGTAGTTCTCGTCAAATTTCTTTGCATAGATGAGTGAGTGCCTCCAGTGCTGCATCAGTTTGTTGAAACATTTCAATATGTATTTCATCAATTCCTAGAGCCTTGTTATTCTAAAGTCCTCACATCTGGACCTTACATTCTAAAATACTCACAGCAAATAACATCATGATAAAGACCTCTTTAAAGTGTTAAAGAGCCAGGCATCAGTTTGGGGACTAAGGTGAGCCTGGTCAAACTAATGGTATTTTCAGTCACCTCATATGCATGTGAAAGTTGGAGAGTGAATAAGGAAGACCATAGAAATTTGATTTATGGTGGTATTGAAGAATATTGAAACTATTATGGACTGCCAGAAGAACACATAAATGTGTCTTGGAAAAAGTATAGCCAGAATGCTCCTTAGAAGCAAGAATGGTAAAACTTTGCCTCTAGTTCTTTGGACATGTTTTCAGGAGGGACCAATCCCTAGAGAAGGACATCATACTTGGTAAAGTGTCATGTTGGTGAAAAAGAGGAAGACCACCAAGGAGATGGATTGACACAGTGGTAGCAACAATGTACTCAAACATAATCATAATTATGAGAATGGCCTAGGACCAGGCAGTGTTTAATCCTGTTGTGCATAGTGTCACTATGAGTCAAAACTGCCTAACAACCACATGACCAAAGGCAGTTATTTAAGCCAGAGGTTTATCATACCTGGCCCAAAGGGATGGTGGTGGTGGTGGTGGTGGTGGGCCATGGAGTCGGTTCCGACTCATAGCGACCCTGTACAGGGTTTCCAAGGCTGTAAATCTTTACGGGAGCAAAAAGCCTCTTCTTTCTCCTGTGGAACTGCTGGTAGTTTTGAACTGCTGACCTTAAGGTTCGCAGCCCAATTCATTACCACTAGGCTACCTGAGCTCCTTGGCCGAAAGGCATAGACATGATGAAATTCATAGACTCGCTTGCATCTAGGAGACCAGGGTCCTGCTCACTCCATGAGAAGAGCAGCGGAGGCAGCACGGTATATTTGGCAAAAGCATGAGACAGCAAATCAAAATATCAAATCATACAGACATAACAGTTTCATTTTAAGTATGTCCTTTGACCATTCAATTCAAACCTTGGAGAATTTAAGTATAATAAGTATATAATTTAAGTATAATAAAAACAACATCTGAACAGTGCTTCCAGAGGGAACTTATAAACTCATTACAAACTACAGGAATTCCTCTAAAGGCCAACATTCTAGTCCTTGCATTCTAACATCTTGGATTCTCTACTTTAGAAATTTCACTTTTAATTTGTCTAAAAGTACTTGTGTGGCACTGTAAGATAAGCATTGGATTGCCAACTGCAAGTTCGGCTCTCCAAACTCACCAGCAGTCATGCCTCAGAAACTGTGTACAGGGTCGCTATGAGTAGAAACCCACTAGACGGCAGCAACTACTAAAGTGTTAGACATTAGGGTTGATCAGAGGATTGTTAAACGAAGCAGTCCTCCACCTCCCTGCCTGTGCGTCATTTCTCAGCAGTAGCCCAGCACATGGTGGTGTTCGGTGGACCAGGGTGCTGAGCTCTGGCTGTGTCTCCACCAAGGTAGGCAAGGTAGGTGCACATGGGGGCCAGTGGTAGTGCTGTCCTGTCAGGCTGGGCAACCTCACATCAAAGTGGCCCTGACATCTTTGGATTTTAAAACTTGAAGAATAAATGTAAAGTTGCTGGCCTTTCAATGAACAATGTGGCTCTCTGTGAAAATATTAGTCTGCTTTTCTTTTCTTTTTTCCAGAACTTAGGTCATTTCTTTATTTTACAGACATGAAAGCCAAAGGAAACTAACTGCCAACTTAAACTCTAAAGGTAAGAGATATAAACAGAGACCAGATTGTCTTTCAGTATTTTACCAAAGGAGTTGTTGAAGATGTGTGTTTGTTGTCTACTTCCATGTATAAGGAATTTGAAGCATGTCAGTGATTGAAGAGTAAAGGGTGGCTTCTGTGACTCTCCAGGGTGATCTTTGTGTCCGAGGGGCTTGGTTCCTGGCTTCTTGAGACACTATCAACAGTAACTGGAGTCTGTGACTCAAGTGCACCTGTATGCAATGGGCCACAGTTGCTTAACATTTTAATTGATTAATTACAAGAAGAATGAAGTCCTTGACAACTTCAATCTTTTCTCCGTTGATAAGAATGTTGTTTATTGGTCCAGTGGTGAGGATTTTTGTTTTCTTGACACTGAGATATAATCCATACCAAAGGCTGTGTGCTCTTTGATCTTCATCAGTAATGTTTTAAGTCCTCTTCACTTTCAGCAAACAAGGTTGTATCATCTGA